TCTCTCTCTCTCTCTCTCTCTCTCTCTCTCTCTCTCCCCCCCTCTTCCCCGTACTCCCCTCTCTTTCTGCAAGTCTCGCAGAATGGACGATGAGGCTGTGTTCCATACGAACAACGCTCAAGTGTCCCGACAACACAACGCCAAGCTATGTGATGCTTTCCCCGCGAGCGCGGACCGTGTAATAGCCCCCTCCCGTGTTCGTCCCGCGGTGGTGGAATTGTGTGCTTAGCACACAGTTGAAAAGAAAAACATCGACATATTTTTTGGGAGAAGCACAGGACTAACTACCAGTGATCTCAGAGATTTCCGAGCAGGATGGTGTCAAATTGAAATGATTGCGGAGATTAGACCTGTGCGTATCATCGCGGTTGTCAAAACCCGATGAGAGCGCTACTGAAATTTCCAAGTTTAGATTGAAAATAGATCGACAATCGATAACTCAGACCCGGAACAAGCCTCTTTTAACGTCACATTTTTGCGAACAGCGATTTAGAAACCGAAGACCTCTATGGCAATTCTAAATGTGGCTTGTTCTACAATCTCCAGGAGCCCTTGAGTTTTGATGTTGATGAGGAGAGTTCCTCTTTTTAGTTTTGCACCATCTTATGAGGAAGCAAACAAGTCCGCGTCTTTGAGACCAGAGCAGTGCCAACTTGGTGTACTGTTGTTGTGGGTGTTCGCTCGGGTCGGGACGCTGCATGTCATTCAGAATGTCGCCCTGTTTCCAGACCTTCAATTCCTCTATCCGTCGCAGCCGCGAGTCCTGGGTCGGTCGGAGGGTGAGTAAGCCTGTTAGGACTCGAGCTCGCCCGCCTATAACTCGTTAACCACGAAAACCCTCTCTCTAGCTAGCCTTCCTATTTTCTTGTGTTATTTGCTCGTGTCGTTTTGTTGTGTCTAAACAGCCCTAACGTCTGCCTGATGCTCTTAAAACCATTTCCTGACTGCCCCACAGCCGCCCCCACACCCTCACCCCCTGACCCCCCCTGTCCTGCCTGTCTGGCCGCCGGGCACGCGGGGTGCCCCGTCCGCGCCGCCGCGCAGCCGCGTTGGCTGGGTTGCGTACCTGGCCATCTGCAGGCGCCGCGCGAGCCAGAGCCCTGGAGCTAGCGAGCATCGGATGCCTACCGGCCATACTTGGAAAAACATCAATTATTTTTACAAAATATGTTGTAAATCTGCGACAGCTCATTCTTGCTTGTCGTGTCGATCAATTCTATGTCCATCAATTCTATCCGAAGTGCTTGTAGATTTACATTTCCAAATTGTGTTTTTCGTCATACACATCATAAAAAATTCGCGTAAACCTACCGAAACCTGGGAATATTTTTCTCAATACTGGTTACCATGGGATCGACGCCATAATGTAGGCATTAGGTTGTCGCTCGCTGCATGGCTGTGGCGCGAGCCCCCCGCGCGCCGGTGGTGGCCGCCTAGATGAACCCCGGCACGCTGCTGCAGACTAACAGGGAGCGGGGTGTCGGCGGCCTTAACGGCGGAGCACCTATAGCGGAGCACTCGGACCCCTACACTACTTTTCTCTTCTACACGGAGCGCTAGGGGAGCGGCGATCCAACTCTGCAGGGTGGCCCGGGGCAGCAGGCTGGCTACAGCTGGCGCACTTTTAGGCCAAGAGCAAGAGCTGTTCTACAGTACCGAGGTGCCCAGCAGCCACGGGTGGCTTCCGAGGCACCTGGTTCCAAGGCGCGTAGGTGGTACCCGCGGCGGCTGCTGGGCGCCGCGGGCACGACGAGAAGAGACGGTTGCCGGTGGTGAGGCTGCGAAACGACTGACTGGCTTCCTCCGGCTTTGAGACTGGCTTCCCGGCCTATACCCGCTTCGTCGACTCGGACCGAGTCCACCACACTGTGCCGGCCTGAGGTGGATATGGGCTGCGTGGAAAAAAAAGAGACATAAATATGAGAGAACATGATTGTCGTCATCATTCTCCTTGTCGATTCACCCGCGGCTCTCTTGATCCGAGAGCCTCTTGCTTTCTGCACTTGGTGCATGGTATCCTCTACGCGCACATTACCGCGGGTTAGTTTGGGGGCAGCTTAGTGCCTGCCTGCGACACTAAACCAAGGCCTCATAACCGTTGTTACTAGCTACAATATCATGAGCACCGAACTAACCTGACTTGGTAGAGATGTAAATATCTATACATCGGCTTACCTCGAGAGAATATATAAATAAATGACAGTAATTTTATTTTGCTTAGTACATACGATAGAGTTGTTTTTTTACAAACTAATGTAGATCTTTCCTTTCAAAATGAAATGCTGTGCAAACGCACATCATTTGCCTCTTCATTAACTGCTTTATTCAGAACTAATTATGAAATCAAACTTAGGATGTGTCAGCTAGAGTAGCTCGATAACACGGACGTTTCCAGAACACATGGCTTATAATTGAAATTTCACATGCAATTTAAATGCGTCATTATGTCTAATCTATTTTATCTAAAATTAAAGGTGTCCGCGTTTTTTGTGTAATGACCAGTTTTTATTTTGCTCACAGTTATTTTACATCCAAGTAATCTGTTGTTTTCTATTGACAAAATTTATATGCCGTTAGCCACCAAAACCACTGATCTAATTTTTGCCTGTATTTCATGATAATTATTGTTTCGCTGACGACCAGCGAATCGCACAATACAGCTCGTGAACGATTTGCACTCAAAAATCATAATTTCTTCGACTTTTTTTTAATTTTTTTGCATCTGGGTCTCTTTACCGGCCCGCGAGGGTTTCGCGTGGCAGCAGCGGCGGCGATCAGCTGACCCACGCCTTTTTTGGCTCCCGGTCGGCGTCCCCGTTTCACCAGGACGCTCTTGTTTGCAGGGCGAGAACAAGAAGGAGGGGTCGACCGGCCCCAGCGAGATCGTCTCGTGCACCAACTGCGGCCCCAACCCGTGCACGCACCCCGCCAACAACGGCTGCGTTACGGAGGTGAGTTCACCTGCTCCCTGTCGGCTCCCCGTGGCCACACTGTGGACACGCTGTCGTACTGATGTTTGCGGTTGCCGCAGGTGCGGAAGCGGGAGCCGCCGCACCCCATCCGCGTGGCCAAGACCATCGACGTGATCGCCCGCATCACGTTCCCGGCCGCGTACGCCGTGTTCCTCGTGTTCTTCTTCTACTACTACCCGGACCCGGGCAGCGGCGTGCCCTGAGCCGCCCTGGCCGTGGAGTGACTGAGCGTGTGAGAGCACAACCAGGACCAAACGGGGCGGACGCACAGGGGCGGGCCTGGGGTCCCGGCAGGGGGGAAATCCCCTCGCAGAGACAGACTTGGCCAGCGCAGCCATAGCGCCGCCCCGGGCACACCGAACCAACAAACATTTACTCTCGACTGACATCAACGGCCAACTGTAGGGTCCGCCCGGGCCAGCGCCCCGAAACAGTTTCGTTTGCACCGGTTGGCGAGCGGCGGGGGACCCCCGAGGGAAGTCCTGGGGGGAGTGGCGCCGGCCCTGGCTATGGAGCGGCAGTGTGGTGCCGCTGGACGTCATCGCGTCGCAGAGCCGCGCGGTGCAGTCGAACTACCAACTAACCTGTAATGACACTGCCTCTGGCTAAGATTTGGACCAGAGCTGAATACTGCAGACGGTAGCAATTTTTTGCTCAATTCGAGCCGCACTGTTTCCAGACGAACATTTGTACCTTTTATTGTATAAAACGACGTTTACTAACGTAACGCCACAAGGGCCAGGATTCCGCTAAATTTCTTTTTCACTGCTAAGGATTCAGGTCTGGTCCACACATTTTCATTTCTCAAGAGTTATGTATGGTTTTAAGACATAATCTAGTCTATATCTAGTCATGTTTGAGGAGTTGTAACCAGAGCCTGATATTTCAAGTTGCCATTGAACCCATGCTCAACATTATTTTCTTGCTGATTATGTATTTAATTTCATGCCTCAGGAAGTGTAAGAATACTGTCTACTGATTTTTCCTAATTTGCAATTTTGCTTGGGTCTCACGACCGTGATGCAAAGGCTTGTCTTATATCCTTTCATGAAACGGTTAAGTTGCCTCGTCCCCCGCAGCTATCTTCTGCATCCAGTCCCCTTTTCCCTAGGCCCTTATTATAGTCTTGGACCAAAGAACTCACCTACGCATAATACCAAAAAATTTAGCAAGTTTTGTCTAATTTGTGAATTAAAATAAGGTTATTTGTAATGTTGAAGAAGTTCTTAGATTTCCGTTTTCTTAAATTTACCTGTCCATCAGGATTTTTTTACTACGTAGCAATGAATACAGTTTTAATCTTTAGCGAAAAAGCACCTTTTATGAAAATCTTACTGCCTGGTTTGAGTAATAACCAACCGATTTCTAATCTTCAAAAATTTAGAGACAATTTTCGAACTGAATTTTAACTAGTGTCGTACTTGGAAAAGGAATATTCAAATTGTAGTTTTTCTCCACGTAACTTTTGCTCGTTTTGAAATAGATACATTTCTCCTCTAAATTCAATGGTTATATTGATCAACTTTCTATCTTCCTTAATTAATCAGTTTCAACACGCTCGTGAAAGCTTTGTTGATGGTGATCTCAGTTTGTTACGTATACGAAAAGGGCTGATACTCGCCGCGCCAATTCTGGGCTTGTCCTTAGCTGCGTAGACACATTTCCTTTTTGTGTAGTGTGAAACGACCTATTTGGCTTGGGACATAATAGAGTGAGATACAATGTACCACAAAGCGCTGTGAAAATGCAATAAGTGAATGAGTAAAGTAGGTTAAGCAGGCTACTTCGGGAACAATGACTATACGTTGCGATTCGTGCGCGGGCGATGCCACCTTGTCACCTGCCTGCGGTTGTGCCTGCTTCAATAACGCGTGCCTAACCCCGGGCCTCTTCTTTTCTTATGTTTTAGACTTTGCACGTACCGCACCTTATTCCAGTAACTTTTTTTCGGGTCTTTCCAGCAACGTTTTAACATTTGTACTGAAAAAGTGCACCCGTGCATGTTGTATTTCAAGTAGTCTGTAATTATTACGATTGTTTACTACTGTCATGCTGTCGTTGTGTTGTTCTTTTTACCATGATCCCCCAAGGGAGTCATCATGAAAGATTTATAGTGAGATTTTTAAAAATTAAGGATTTGCATGTAAGGTATAAATTAAGGATATATACATTGTTATTACATTTACGGTAAATTGTTTTTCTCTTTGTCGTTTGTTGTGATTGTTGGTTGAGTAATGTTATGTCTGCCCGAGTCTCTGCTGTAGTACAGTTAGAGTTGGCGTCAAGGTATTTAAAATTTTAGTTTTTATTATGGTTAGCCGTACGGGTCGACGGCTTGTTGTCTTGGGGCACAATTCGTGTATCTAAGCAGAGCGTTTATATATAAATATGAATATTCAAATCGACTCTTTTGCTAGGCCTGCGCATTCCTTTACCGCAAACTGTTCCCTTGGGTTCTTTGCTGCTGTCTCATTCTTTATCTAAATTTCAATGAAGCGCACATATTAACAGTATGAACAGTATGAAAACTTGATGAAAGCTGCTTTCCCCCTGCACAAACTTGATAAAGTTGTCTCAAATATTGCAATATTTCTTTACAAAACTTGCATCTCTTTCAGCTTTGGAATCGTTTTGCGACAAGCTGCCCGGCACCAGCTTAGATCACCGGAAATTACTTCGTCGGCAAACTGTCGCTTTTGGAGGTCTCTATTCTATTTACATAGTTATTGCACGTAGATCGTGTTGTTTGTAAACTACCTGACCACTTTTTAAAATGTTATTTTCCCGCACTAAATATTCGATTTTACCTAAGGGTCTTTCCTTATTTTAGTACTCCCATGTGATCGATTTTGTCCCGACGTCTGTCAGGCAAAACCCATGTAGTTTTAAGTGTCTTGAATCATTTTCATTTTATCGCCGTCATTCTCATCGTCCCATTCTTATCATTAGTCTTATCGTTAGTCATGGGTCCTCATTTACACAACATGCTCTGTGCTGCTGCTGCTTGCATGTCAGTCATATTTTACATATTGACCATGTAAATACCTATAATAACTATCGTTATAGCAAGCTGTACATAATTTCTTGTATATTTTTCGGAACATGATTTTCAATAAAGGGATTAAGCAGTTCCCGTGACAAAACCCTGCCGCCATGTTCTTTCCTCTTCTCAAGGACTCTTTTTGGAAAGGGTGTAAAAAAAACACAACAGTCTGTCAACGGCACGCTGCCTATAATTTAAATAAATTAAAAGTACTCTACCATAACATTAAATATCACATGAATAACAACAAGAGCAGCAATAACAACGATCAAACTCCGCTTAACAAAATGCGAGTAACACAAAGACGCGATAAATAATTCACAAATTGTTTGTGTCAGTCTCCTTCCCCTGATAAATCTCCCTGCCCTGTTGTCATGTTGGCAGCGTTGCCACCGATGAGCGCGCAGTGCGACGCGGTTGGACAGCCTGGGCGGGGCGCGCGGATTGAAAGGGGCGCACGGAAGGACATCAATCTTTGTCACGCTCCGGCAATGCGTTACTCCACCCCGCGCAGCCAACCCCCACAGGTGGCGGCTGGGCCAACGCCACGCCATGCCCTAGGCTTCCTTGGTGAACATGACGTTTTACAGATTGGAAGGTGGATTTCGTTTCGCATCTGCCAGACGAGCCAGTTCAGTTACTCCTGAAACAGGTGGCAGGAGCTCAATAGTCGGCCAGGTCCTGGTCCTCGTCCTCCTCCTGCTCCTCCTCTTCCTGCGCCCCCTCCTCCAGCCCTTCCTCTTCCTCCTCGATGTCGTCCACGTCGCTGTCGAGCTGCCCCTGGATCCAGCTCGAGTAGTGCGACAGCCTGGTGTAGACGTCCGGGAAGCCCGGCTTGGCGCAGCCCGACCCGAAGGACGTGATGCCGACCAGGAACCATCGGCCGTCCTTGCCGAGGCACTGCAGCGGCCCGCCCGAGTCCCCCTGCAGGAAGCATCTCAGATAAACCGTACGCTGATTCTACTAGACAAGATGACCGAGACCTAATTTTCACATCTTAACATTTATTTTACAATGTTTCAGCTTATTTTAGGTTATGAGACTTAAAGAAAAAAATACCGTGCACAGCAAACAGATAGGGTGAGGGGCGGAGAGGAACAAGGAAGGTGGGGGCACCCAAAAAAAGGCGTCCGTTTTCCTGAGATTCATTCGGCAAATTACGGGAACTCGGCGCCTGCGAGAGTCGGGGTAGGCCACCCCGCGGTGCACGTATGCATTGGACGCAAGATGTTGCCTATCTACCAGGCGCCTTGCGCCACTGAATCTGGAGTTGTGATAAATTAACCCTCATTTCTGCCATAACTCGGTGTTTGCGATTCCTTCGATTTATCGCTTTTCTGGACATCATAACTTTTTATCGCAAAAACAAAAAAAAAAACATGCTATAAAAAGTACATGGGAAAGTTATCACAAAAATAATGTGATAACTTTTTATCGTAAGTTTTTGTGATAAACGTAAATACTAGCTCCCGTTATACACTAAACTTTGCGTTAAAAAGTCATCATGTCTATAAAAGCGAAAAATCTGAGGAATCACAAAATTGAGCCACACTTTTGTGATAAAAGTATTATAGATCTAGATTCAGTGGCATCGGCTGAACTTGGCAGTTCCGTAAACGGCAAATGGTGGACGTGCTTTCAGGACTGCATGCAAGTTTCTTACAAAGACCTGCGATATAATACGGAGAAATTCGATTTGTAATATGGCGGTTTCAGTTCCTTTGTATGTTACAAACCCAAATCTTTGTAATATGAAGACCACTCATTGCAAGGAACTTAGAGTGTGACCCCAGTGCTCCTCCGGTTCGTGATTCTCGTCATATTCTTTTGTTGCCCTTTTAAGAGCGCATGCTACAATAAACTCACAACGCAGGTGCCGGACGAGCCGTCCAGGTGGCCGGCGCAGAGGTGGCCCTGGCCGATGCGCACGCCGCCGCCGTAGCGCTTGCCGCAGAGCGTGTTGGCGTGCAGCGGCACGGCGGCCTGGAGGAGCGTGGCCGTCTCACCGCCCGAGGCCGACTGCCGGCCCCAGCCGGTCGCCATGCAGAGGGGCTTGTCGTCGCCGGGCGCGTTGGGCACGGGGGGCACGCCGGGGCCGTCACCGGGGCCGTCGGGTGGCGGCGGCAGGCACACGGGCCGCACGCGGGACGCGCCCGTGATGCGCACGCGGCGCGACAGCTTTAGCAGCGCTGAGGAACGAAATGAGAAGAATTAAGTATGTTTTTTGATGATACGTTCAACACTCACTTGAATACTGAAAGTAACAAACCAAACTAATTTATGGCTGAGGTACACGCGATAAAAAATATTATCTGATTTTTTTGTATGGGAAGGTATCAAATTTGAGGAACTTCGTAGATTTTGAGGAAGTCGCTTCTCACAAAATTGGGCGAAATCCCACATCTTTTATGGAGGCTTATTCATCAAAATCTGAAGAGTTTCCCTGAGACTTTGAAAGTTTTTCCCTTTTCACCAAAAAAATCAGATTGTTTTGCCCGTGTCAGTTTTTAAAAACAAAGAGGTCTGCCAGCCCAAGAATTCCAATTGTATTGTGATAGTGGAAATAGTGCCCTCGAAACTAGCGTCATTTGAGCTGGGTGTCAAAATTATAAATAAGTTTTTCCAAATGTGGAAATCGTTTTCCATTCTTACCAATGTCGTTGTTGTAGCCGTGGAACTTGTGGTGGATGATGATCTTCTCAATAGGCACCCTGACCTCGGTGTTCTCCTCCACCTCGCGGTCCCAGTCGCCCAGCACGGCGGTCCACAGAGCCGGGATGGGCAGGCTGAATACCTCGCTGCAAGCAGGCACGTCGTGGGAGTAGGGAGGGAGGTCAGCGCCGAGCTCGTCGAGGAGGACCGGGAGCAGGGAATGCAACCCCATCCGGGTCTGCGAGACACGCCCGCCGCATCCCTCCTCGCGGACGAACCAACCTGATTGGAAAATTCCTCCGGCGGCCATCTAAGTGAGGAGGCGGCTCTCGGCACCGGAGCAGCTCTTTCACTCACGGGCTCAAGGGGGGCCGTCGGGCCGGGCCGGGTCGGGCCAAGGGAAGGCGGCGGGGGGCCGGGAGGGACTATAGGGAGATGTGTGTGAGCTTATTCCCCGCGCGGCTTCTTTGTGCGAGTACGTGGGGTGTGGCATGGCGGGGCGGGGCGGGCGAAGCTACGCACGACGACGCCGAGGCTCCCCCCGGAGAGAAGAAAAGGCGGGGTCCAAGGCGAGCTTGGGGTGCGGAGTCGGGATATATTGGCATCGCCGTCTACCGCCCGCCTGCCTCGGCATCATGGAGGCCACCCGCTGCTACCGCGCCGGTGAAGCAAAGCAAGACAGGTAAGTGTGTAGGGAGATGAACACATGAGCACTTACTTGTGGATGCAGTGGGCGGCGGTCAGCACCCATTTGTCCTGCACGAGCACGCCGCCGCACCAGTGGCCGATGAGACCGAGGCGTGGGTGCAGCACCTGAAGCGAGGCCTGCGTGGAGGAAACATCGAATGTTCAACCAGATTGTTGTGCACTTGCAGGTCTTCAACCAGATAGTTGTGTACTTGCAAGTGTTCAATCAGATAGTTGTGCACCTGCAGGTGTTCGACCAGATGTCCGTGCTTTTGCAAATGCTCAACAACACTGTTGTGCCCTTGCAAGTGTTTAAATCCTCTGCTCTTCCTGTACTTTATCTCATCCAACACGCGGAGGTCCTGAAGATGAGGTGAACCATTGAACACTTGCAAGTGCACAACATACCCCGCGTTTAACAGAGAACACGTGCTAGTATGTCCTGGTTCAACACACATGGCTCATCAGTAAGGTTGCGTGGTCCGTGTGCTCGTACCTGCCAGGGCCAAGCGCCCTGTCGGCTCTCCTTGCCGTTGACGATGCGGCCCTGGGACTGCGACCAGGATGACGGCGTCCACAGCGAGCGAGGGCGGCGGCGGGACAGCAGGCTCAGCCCGCACTCCGCGTCTGCGCCAAACACAACACACGGTGAGCAGCGTGAGCCAAAGGCGCAACGTAGAGTGTATACAGTCGGGTCATGTTTGGTATGAGGACATAAAACGCCTGGTAGGTAGGCAATTTATTTTAGTGGAGCGCAGCGGGGTCGAGCGTGTGGCCTATCCTGGAGTCGGCAGGCGTCCGTCCAGCTCAGCTGATTGGCCGCGAGGGGCTGGCGTTGTTGTCGGGCGCCCAGAGCTAACCAATAATTATGAGTCCACTTTCTAGATTCAGCGGAATACCCAAGGGTTAAATTGCGTTGATGAAACATCGTCTGTTGTCTCCTCCCGTCCTGACAGGGACAGCAGCGCGCCGGTGATTGGCATCTCAACAACAACAACACAGCAGCAGCAGCAGCAGCAACTATCTGCGCGCCTCATCTTCTGAGGCTGCACCTGGCGGGGAGCGTGAGGCCGACGCGGAAGTAGGCAGAGGGCGGGGCGGGGCGGGGCGAGGCGGGGCGGGGCGGGGGCGTTCTGCAGGGTAATGGCAGCGTCACCAGTCGGGACGGACGGTAACCAGGTGAACAAGAGAGAGACGGAGGAAACGGCGCGGACGAGTAGGAAGAGGCCGAGGAGGCGGAGGAGGCGGATAAGGAGGAGCAGGGGGACGCCGGGGCGGGGCGGGGGAGACTTTCTCTCCTCAGATCACTTTCTATAGCCTCCCGCCGCGCCGGCCGGCCGGACCCTGAACAAGCCCGCCGCGCCGCGCCACGCCATCGCTATCGGACGCGCAACGCGCGTTGCATCATGTGCCACAACACTTGACATAATGATGGCGGGGACGGGCGGAGCGGGGCGGAAACCGGAGGAGAGGAGATCAACAACGTGATCCGGAGGCGTGGCGCCTCAGCTGGGCGGCGGCGCGGGGCAGTGGACAGCTGATGCCCCCCCCCCTCTCTTCCCGCCCGCCGTTCCGCTCTCCAATGCGTGCACCGCCGCCGCCTGCACTGCTGCACGTGCACCGCGCCCACGGCTCCGCGGTGCACTTCCGGGTACTTCCGGGACGGAGCGGAAGTAAAGCGGTGCGGCGCCCGTCGACGGAGAATTGCAGGCACCAGCTTCACGCTTATTATTATATATTTTTGTTCGGGAAGTAAACCTGCCTTCGGTGACAACCCCGCGCCGCCCGCGACGCCAGCCAGGTCGCAGTCCTTCCCAGAGTCGTAACTGAAACTAGGTAACGGTGCTTCTTTCGCCGGTGTTTAACACACTGGCGACTACAGTTAAATGTCGTCTTTACGTACGCCACTTTTCTCTCCGCTGTCCAAATTGAATCTTTTTATTTTCTTCCTTGTCACTGTTGTTGTGACAACTAACAACGTGCTGTATTTCTTTTTAGTCTCAATCAGTTTTGCGAAAGTCCAAAGGTCAACAAAATGAGTGGGTTACGTACTTGCCTGCGACCGGGAGGTGTTTGATATCAGGGCGTTTGCCCCCCCCCCCTCATCTCAGAGATACGAGCAACGGTTGCAACTTTACGAAGGCGAGCATGCTCACTCAGCGCGAGACTGCCGCTAGCTACTCTGGAGTAGGTGCGTATCGGTATCCCCGCGGGACGCCGTGTTTACGGCACACACTACCCAGACACTATTGCCGCCTCCTCGGACGCGCTCGTAAACCCACGCGCGCCCATCAGGCCCGCGGGCCCGGTCGGCCCGGCCAGCCCGGAGTTTGGTGTTTCAGGGTCAAGGGCACCCATCAGAGCAGGGCAGGCACTCGGCTTACGGCTACTGGACCACGAGTTGTTACTCTCTCACAGCGGTCTGCGACGACGTCACTGCGGGTTGCCTGCTCTCGCGGGAAAGGGGCGCGGGTCAGTGGCAAGCCCGCCGAGTGGCGCACAGGCGTAGCGCGGGAGCCACCTGGTCACACACTACTGTATACTGCACCGCCGCTCGGTCTCTCACCTGCGTTGTGGTGGACGCGCGGAGCGGGGCTCCTCGACGTCGAGTTGCGGCCGCCGGCGCCATGGCTCGGGCTGGCCGTGCTCGGCGCGGAGGTCGTGGAGGTCGCTGACGTGGAGCCGGCGTCAGCCGCGGCCTCGGGGACGGCGTCGTCGTCGTCCAGGCCGGCAGTCAGGCTCAGGCACAGCACCACCAGCAGCAGCACCGGGGCGCCGCGCATGTCCGGGCGGCGCGCGCCGCAGGCACGGCGGGAACCTGGAGGCCGGGCCGACCGGGCGCGGCAGAGGCCGGGGCAGGTCAGGGCAGCGACGCGAGGCGGACGCGGGCGCACACGCGCACGGACTGAGCGATGTAAGGACACCGTCCGGGGCCCCGGCCCGCCCCGGCCCGCGGCGGCAGGGAGAGGGAGGCAGAGTCCAGGAGGCCGGCGCAGGGCAGGGCAGCCCGCCAGGCAGGAAAACGAAAGTAATGATGGAGGTGGGGGAGTGGTGGCGTCCTGGTAGGGTCTTGGCGGGGTCCTAGTGGGGTCCTGGTAGGGTCTTGGCGGGGTCCTACTGGGGTCCTGGTAGGGTCCTGGCAGGGACCTGGCGGGGTCCTAGTGGGGTCCTGGCGGGATCCTAGTGGGGTCCTGGTAGGGTCCTGGCGGGGACCTGGCGGGGTCCTAGTGGGGTCCTGGTGGGGCCCTAGCGGGGTCCTGGCGGGGTCCTGGCACGTTGCTGGCAGGGCCCTGCTGGTGGAGTCCTGTTGCGTACCGTCGCCAGGGTGCCGGTTCAGCTCAGCTCATTGCGGAAGCAGCGGAAGCGAGCGGACCCTCCGGTCGGGAAGACATGTCGCTGTTGGTCCTTTGATAGGGGGCGTCGTCGGGGATCACAACGCAGGCAGGCCTTGCTGCAGGCGCCGTGCGAACAAAGGCTTGGAAGGGGGGGGGGGTACCCCTGGGTGCTACGAAATAACACGTCGCGTGTGATAGCGTGCCGTCAACTCGGAGGCAAACAACAAAATATATACAGTATTCAAGATTCAAAAGAACAAAAAGTTATCTTCGACGCGGTGGTTTTATGGGGATGGGCGGATACAAGAAAGAAAAAAAAAGTGTTGAGCAGAGAAGGAAAGTTTGGAAGGAGAGGGGAAACTGATGCAGAAAGGAGGGCGAGACAGACAAGACAGGCATCGAGCCAAAAGGTCTGTACGTCCAGCTGATCGGCCGCCCCGTTCACGTCGCCGTCGACAAAGTCGGGCGTGCGAACAATAGGGGTCCGGAGGTCCGGAGGCCCCGGGCCCGGCGGGGTCGGTGAAGACGTAAGTTAGCGCCGCGCCCGCGCAGCGGGGAGCGGGGCCAAGAAGTGCTACCCGCTCGTCGTGTAGCTGCAGCCGTAGGGAAGTTCCGCGCGTCACCGCCCAACAGCCCAGCCGGGCCCTGATTCGCAATCTTGCGCCTGAATGATGGATGGCGATGGCGACCCGGCAGCAGCAGCAGCAGCCAGGCGAGGCCCTATCGCTGTCTGTCTGTCCTCTCTCTCCCACCTCACTTTCGTTTTCACGGTGCGTGTCAAAGGTCCTCGTAAATCTCGCGCACACGCGGCGCACTCCTCGGCCTGCAGCAGCGCCAGCCGCGTATCGCGGAGCTGCATCGCGCCAGGGCAGGGCAGCAGTCGCAAGCGGCGAAGACTCTGCTCAGGGTCTTTGGGTTGAGCGACTCGGAAGTTGGTCGAATGCCGCCGCAGAGCCACACGAATGTGGTGTGGGTGCCTATAGGCCTAGGACTTCTGCCTAGGGGACAGACGCAAGGGCACGTGTCCGTACATACAATTAACAGTTAGTTGGTTCAACTGCATTTTGAAACCCACTCACAACAAGGCAATGAAACGAGCTGAACTGTGAAATGATTAGTTCAATTCAGCACTGAATCCTGCAGTTTCTTAGTATTCTTCGCACTGACTCCACAACTGAACAATGGGACAGTGGAATATGAGGAGAATCTCACATCATATGTGGCTCAAAAGGGGCAATCGGGTGTGAACAATGAATAGTAACTGCACAGTTCAGCAATTTAATAATAAAGAATTTATCTCACAATAAAAACAATACTTTAATATTTTTGGCCCTTCCTTTAGGACATAAAAATATAATATCACATGAGTTAGAAAACTTAATTCACTAGTTACAAGATAAATCACACGATCAGCCTATCATTAATTACATCATCATACTTCAGTCAATGATTTTCAGTTTCATTTCATTAGTTACGTAACCTACTAATTGAGTCATGAGAGCTTGCTGAGCTGATGGTGAGTTGAGGAGCAGAGGTAAGAGAACAGCAACATCTTCAACACGAAAGTCATTGATGATTCTCATGCATGATGCAGCAAGCTGACTTTGCTGAGCTGGAGTCATATCTTGAGCAATGACAAGAGCCACTGATTTGAACTTGCCATGCATCATATATGAAGCTATCACTGAGGAAACTGTACCTCCTGCCATGGAATTGATTGATAAATTAAAAAGGGCCATTTAAATTTTTTAAGGGAAAAGGTTATACCAGTCATAGAGCAATAGAGAACTTACCAAAAGCAAGACCCACCGGACCCAACAAAATTGCACAAATTGCTGCGCTTAACCCAATTCCAGCACCACATTTTAAAGATTCTGTGACAGCCACTCGTAAATTTCTCTGTTCGGAAAGCTGGCTCAAGATGTACATCACTTCACTCGTATTTATTGGCATGGTTACGCCTGTAATTTTAAGAAATGTATTAAAAATACAAAAACATATTTTAAGGACTGTTGCACCTTATCTAAATTCATTCTTAGGTACACCAAAAAAGATAAAATGGACCACATGCACAAAGGGGAATACCAAACAGAGTGGAGGACTATATACATAAAAACATTGCGATTAGTATAATCCGTCAAATTGTGTGGGTAAAACTTGTTTCAATTTGAAGAAACCAAGGACTTCTGATGCTGCTGTAGTCATGCATATACCATATCTTGGATTCTTTTTGACAGTCCCATAACCCTGACTCACAAAGTATGGCATATGTGCCAAACGGGGTTGAAGTAGTTCAAAAAATACTAACATTTACAGATCACCGACTAGCCCAGTTGAACGACGTGTGGAGTTGCTTTGAAAGACAATTGTTTCGTTGTTTGTTGATTGTTTCAGAATTTAGAGGCAAACTAAGACAACTTTGAACCTGAAGCACTGTGAAGAATTATCAACTGACGTATATACACTGAGGGAAGCATCGTCGGCAGAGATACTGCAAATAGCGTCCACTTCTGAGTCCACTGCGAATACTGCATTTGCTAGCTATTCAACCTTCTACTGTTTTGTCGACGACGAGCAGACCAAACCAACACACTTTTGTTTGGAAAACAGAAATGGTATTTAACGACTTACACACGAATTTACAGCAATAGTATTTTCTTTCAGCGTGTTTTTAATTAAATCTGTACTTTCTATTTTAATTTAGCCTTTTGAAATCAATATTGAATGTATATTTCACATGCTACTTTTCTTAAGATGATTGTTGACAGAGAAGTGCGAGGTTATGTGAGTATAAATGTAGAAGTATCCTGGTTTCCACTTCGATAGACGATCCCCTTTACCTTTGTTAATTCTTTCAATGCATTTTAAATTTACAGCTGATTTCAATATGCTTCGCCTCAACGTGAAACTGTTGCTGTTTTTGGTGTTTGGCTTAGTTTTCTTAGCAACATGGTCCCTTTGGAATCGTTGTCTTGATGGTCTTCATCCTCCTGGTTGGGATAACAGTTATAAACACAATGGAGATGGACCACTTCAGGTAAAATTTTAGATTTTTCTTATCACTTGGCTTGTATCCTATAATGTATCATGTCTTCTTTGTATTCAATTTTCCAGGATGTCTTTTCTGGTAACTCACCCGTTGCAGATAGGCAGACAAGTGAATTGCAAGGATATGAAGAAATTGACTGCTTGATTAATGGTGATATTGCCCTTAAATGCCGGAAAGAGGGAGATGAAGTCTATTTACCATTTTCTTTTATTCATAAATATTTTGAGGTAAGAGAATGATTTATTTTAATACTTTATACTTCTGCTTTGTGTAATGATCTAATACGTATACTTTTTGATCTCCCTTGATTTTCTTAGGTTTATGGTAAACTAGCCACTTACGATGGCTATGAGAGATTTGAATGGTCTCATAGCTATTCTAAAGTATTCTATCCGAAAGGGAAGTATGAACCTTCAGGTGTATTCATGTACTTTGAAAACTACAATGTTGAGGTTCGTGAGCGTGTGAAATGTTTGAGTGCCACCGAAGGTAGGTGTAACAAATAGTGTGCTGAGCCTTTAGATCTTCAGTCTTGTGTTTAACCTGAATGTTATGCTGTTACTTTTTAATATCAGGTGTGCCTGTATCTACACAATGGGAGAGTGGTGGATACTACTATCCAACTCAAATCGCTCAATTTGGACTATCTCACTATAGTAAAAACCTAACAGAACCAGAACCCCGAAGAAAAGTTCTTGAAGATGGTGAGAAAGATATTTCTCATTGGTCCACCAACGGACTTGCCTCTTTTACTAGAGCTCATGATCCTGAGGCCAACAGCTTTGTTCTGCAATTCCAATCCTCAAGTAAGAGTCCTCTCTCTATTTTGCTATCTTAATCTTAGTATTTCATTGTGAAATGCTTCAGAAATGTTTTTATATGAATATTTATAATATTCATAATATTTTTTTTCAGTTGGTGGGTCTGTCTCTCTGAAGTTAGACCATGTACTGGATTTTGTCTTGATGATGGATTTGAAGATCTTGTCTATCAACAGTAGTGTTACTGTTGCTTTACAAAATAGAGAAACTAGGCAATTGTGGCGGCTTCACTATCTCTGCTCTCCTCAGCTTATTTTCATTCAGGACAGCAAGGTATATTACTGCTGAGTATCCAGTTTTGTAATAGCTTGTCACATTAAGAGTTCTGTGATAAATATGCTCTATTTATTTGTATTGGAAGTGCCTTATGTACTCTAAACTTTTGCAGGACCAAGATATTTATCATGGTATTGAATGTGATGATGTCACCCCTTGGATTACACTCATAAGAGATCTAGTTGTTGATCTGCAGAAAGGGTTGCTGTTACAAAATAAGGGAAAACGTAAGCTTCCTAGATCAAAACTCAAGGTGGGTGTTGTTTATGTTTCATATTTTTAAAGTTAAATATTTGAAGTTTAAGCCACCAGTTATGTGTACTATATTTGAAGTTAAAGCTAAAGAAACTTTTGAACAATTCAATTAGTTAAAGGTAATATTTCTGTTTTAATTTTTTTTTATCAGGTGGTTGGTATAGCTTTACGAGGATGGGGAAAAGTAGATAATGTTAGTCTATCATCCAGTGAGCATTTGGCTCACTTTTATGATGCAGCTCGTTGGTTTGTAAAGCATCAAGACCGAAATACAGGTGGTTGGCCTAATCCTGTGAAACGTAGAGTGGCTGCTGGTATGGAGGAACTTGAACCTGGATGGTGAGAACTTTTATTGTGATCTACCTAGCTTAGAGCTCTCACTTATGGGTAATATTTGTTCTTACATGAATTTTTATTTTAGGTACTCTGCAATGGGGCAGGGGCATGCAATTTCAGTCCTTGCTCGCGCTTATCATCATTCAGGCGGAGAACCCCAATACCTTCAAGCAGCTATTAATGGTTTACGCCCTTTTAGAGTACCAAGTGATGAAGGGGGTGTTTTAGCTCTATTTCTAGGTATGTTAAATTTCAGTTTAATACTTTTTAGTGTACCAGTCCACCACTCAGTTTTCATTTGTCTTTGATAAGAAATAAAATAATAATGTCTGGGGGTCATTAACACGGCTTTGATACTCAAGAAAACCTTCACACTGAATGTGCTAACACCCTTTCTGTTGCATTTGTGTATCTCATGTAGAATTAACTTAAATTTCTTTTTCAGGAAAATTTCCATGGTATGAGGAATATCCAACTCGACCTGCCTCATTTGTGTTGAATGGTTTTATTTACTCTCTGCTTGGTCTGTATGACCTGAAAACCTTAGCACCCCCAGCACAGGCCAAAGAGGCTTCTGTTCTCTTTGAACAAGGCATGGTCTCTTTAAAGAACCTCCTGCTTCTGTTTGATACTGGGTCAGGAACATCTTATGACCTGCGACATTTCACTCTTGGTACTGCTCCAAATTTAGCTCGTTGGGATTATCATGCAACACATGTCAACCAATTACTTCTATTGGCCACAATAGATAAGGACCCACTTATAGAAGTCACTGCTAGGCGATGGATAGGTTATATGAATGGTAAACGAGCAGCCCACAACTAACATATTCTCACTTTGTATGTCATTACTTTTGTAGTTAATTCTGTACGTCTTTATGTACTTTTTGTTTACTTAGTATTTTTTGTACTATCCTTCGTTTTGTTGTGTCACTACTTGTGATCTCTAGTGTAGTTTTGGTGTCCTTAACTTCTCAATATTCATTACTACTTGTATTATTTTT